TTATTTCTTGTGAAAAATTTGCTTTGAAAGTGTTTGTTGGATGCAGTTGATACCTGAAAGGAACTTAAAAGAAAAAAACGTACATAATAATGGAAGAGAACAACAATAAGAAAATAAATGTTTAGATATGTGCAGGAGAGGTAGGATGTCCAATAAGGCTTTATGATCTAAAGTATATGAATACAATTTTCCACCCCATGTTTTCTTTGTAGGAGCAAATGAAGGCCAAGAGGAAGGAAGCAGAGCTGCGTCAGGTGCAGTCTCAGGCTCACGGTCTGCAGATGAGACTCAAGTACTCCCAGAGTGATCTGGAACAGACAAAAACCCGCCACCTCTCGCTCAACATGCAGGTACAGTCTGCTGGTGGCAGCTCAGTATTTACCTGGTTTGGCAATGGTAACTGTTGCATTCAAACTTGTTTCATTTGTGTCATGCAGGAGAAATCTAAGCTAGAGAGTGAACTGGCAAACTTTGGCCCTCGCATCAACGACATCAAGAGAATCGTCACGTCTCGCGAAAGTGAGATCACTGACCTGCGAGATCGCATGAACCTGGTGAGAGAGACGGAGAGGGAGATCCATTTAGAAGCCTTTAAATCAATATAAAGCATTGTACACATTTCAACATTTGTTTTGTTTTTCAGGTGGAGGATGAGGTCTTCATCGAGTTCTGTAAGGAGATTGGAGTGCGGAACATCCGAGAGTTCGAGGAGGAGAAGGTGAAGAGGCAGAACGAGATCGCAAAGAAGCGGTAAGTTTCTTAATGAACTAGATCTTTCTATAATACTGATATAACTGTTCATATAACCTGTCATACATCATTTTACTTCAGCCTGGAGTTTGAGACCCAGAAGACCCGTCTGGGTATCCAGGTAGACTATGAGAAGAATCAGTTGAAGGAAGACCAAGAGAAAGTCATGATGTGGGAGCAGACCGTCAAGAAGGACGAGGCTGAAATAGAGCGACTCAAGAAGGTGAAAACGTGATCTGAAATGTTAGACTTTAGACTTTGTTGTCGCTATATCCTCAACATTATTAACTTCTCTGTTCTCAAATTTAATATGGATTTCAATCTTTTTGCCATCCATCTTACGCTCCTGCAGGAGGAGCACAGACACATGAAGATCATTGATGAGACAATGGCCCAACTGCAGGACCTGAAGAACCAGCATCTCACCAAGAAATCTGAAGTCAATGATAAGAACCATGACATGGAGGAGATCCGCAAGAAACTGGGTGGTGCCAACAAGTCAGTGGTTGCAAACACAAACATACAAATTCAGGTTTTGTAAATATATATCAGGGATATGACTCTGGGAATAATCCCTGGAACACTGAATTTTTCTGACCGAAAATGTTGACCCACTAGATTCAAATTATCAATGAAAGAATTTTCTATACATTATTTATATCATAGTTCAGGTATTTTAACAACCATCATACTTTCTGACTGTTTTTGCAAAAACAAAAGTGTAGTTATATACACTTACGGTATGTACATGTTTCATTCTAAGACCGCTAACTGGACGATCTGCACTCGATCTCTAGCTTCTGTATTTTTCCTGCGTTTTTGTCCTTTGTCAATCACATCCAAAATATATTCTTGCCTCTGATTAATACACCTCCAATGTTGCTTTTGTGTCTTCCAGGGAGTTGACTCAGCTCCAGAAGGAGGTGACAGCTATTGAGACAAAACTGGAGCAGAAGCGAAGCGACCGTCACAACTTGCTGCAAGCCTGCAAAATGCAGGACATCAGGTTGCCGCTACGTTCTGGAACTATGGATGATATCAGCCAGGGGGAGGTGCGGAAAAGAAAAGCGTGTTCATACAAGCTGTAACTTGAATACCAATGGGACTGGAACGTAGACTAATCTGATTTAGTTTTGTTCTTTAGGGCAGCTCTCAGACAGAGGAGTCGAGCAGCCAGAGGACGTCCAGCACTGTTCTAGCTAAAGAAGCTCTCATAGAGATCGACTACAGCAACTTGTCTGAAGACCTCAAGGTACACAAGACCTATGCATAATGTCAAACAGTCCAACTTGATCTTCTGGCTTGATACCCTTCATCGATTTAGATTGTGCTCAACAGTTCAAACAAAAGAAAATAATTGGAAAAGATTGGACTTTTATATGAAATATTAAGACACCTACATAGATCTTACATCCTGTTTGACTCTCTACAGGATGCACTGTCTGAAGAGGAAATCAAGGCCGAGACGAACACTCTGCAGCAGCGCCTGAACGAGCAGCAGAGTATCCTACAAAGGATCAGTGCACCCAACATGAAAGCCATGGAGAAGCTGGAGAGTGTCAGGGACAAGTTCCAGGAGACAAGCGATGGTACGATGGCAGAATAAAGTTAGAGGCTTGATTTTGACAGACCTTTTCCAGAGCTCTAATGTTACCTTTTTTTTTCTTTCTTTAAAAAAAAATAAAAAATCTTTCCCCAGAGTTTGAGGCTGCTCGCAAGAGAGCAAAGAAGGCCAAGCAAGCCTTTGAGCAGATCAAGAAGGAGCGTTTTGATCGTTTCAATAACTGTTTTGAGTCTGTTGCAACAAACATTGATGAAATCTACAAGGCTCTTTCACGCAACAGCAGTGCTCAGGTATGACACTTTTGTGTTACCATGACCAAAATAAATATGATGCTACAGAACACAGAGGTCAATGTGTAATATGTGATGGCAGGTAACACAAAAGGAAGATTTCCTCTTATTGGTTGTGTCTCGGTCTATTTGGCAGGCTTTCCTTGGCCCTGAGAACCCAGAAGAGCCGTATCTGGATGGCATCAACTATAACTGCGTGGCTCCAGGGAAGAGATTCAGACCAATGGACAACTTGTCTGGAGGAGAGAAGACTGTTGCTGCCCTCGCTCTGCTCTTTGCCATTCACAGGTGAAACAACACAACAGTACAGAGTCTAAATAGTTTGATTCAAAAAAGTGGAGGTGTGTGTTAAACTTTAAGCTAATGATGGTGTTTGCTTTATCTCTCCCCCTCGTATTTAGCTACAAACCCGCTCCCTTCTTTGTTCTGGATGAGATTGACGCCGCTCTGGACAACACTAACATCGGCAAGGTCTGTTGAGAAATAATTTTAAAGCTCATCTTCCTTCTGCTTGTGTGTTAAATCTGCAGGTTTTTGAACTGCAACTCATATTTTCACTCTCTCCCCTCAAGGTTGCCAATTACATCAAAGATCAGTCAGTGCAGAACTTCCAGGCAATCGTCATCTCCCTGAAGGAGGAATTCTACACCAAGGCAGACTCACTGATCGGTGTTTATCCTGAGGTGTGTATCTTTTTATTCTTCGCACAAGATTCTATTCCAAATGCAAAATAAAATGTACCTATGAAGCTTAAACAACTGTATATTAGAGCATATCTGCAGGCTGTAATTCAGTTCCCTTAGAAAGATACCCATTAATTGTCTACTTGATTTGTTAATTAATAAGTAAAATGAGTTGTTATATTCAGCTGAGACGCAACAATAAACTGTCATTGTAATTTAAATACAAACAAATGTTCATAGGCCTTATAGTCATCGGTTTCCGTCATTTAGTAAACTGTATGAGCCTAAAAGGGATTCATTTAAATCTTGTGTGTTATTCAAAGTCTCTAATATAGTTTTCTAATGACTACATTAGCTGATTAATGGACTCAGCTGTAATTATAGACTATCTCGTTTCAAATATGGCATCATAAAACATGTGCCCGATCCTGCAGAAATACAGCAGAAACCTGCCAATAACACTGTCGTGATCTGTTGTTATGTAATAAACATTGGAATAATGTGTAAATGTGATTTAATAACTTTTTGTTTTCTCTTTCTTTACAGCAAGGAGATTGTGTCATCAGCAAAGTGTTGACTTTCGACCTCTCTCAGTATCCTGATGCCAACCCAAATCCCAATGAATAGGACGAGCACTCCCAACACTGACAATTTCACAAGTTGGCAGTTCTCTGTAGTCACAGATCATGTATCAATTAGGTCCCATCTTTTATTTCTTACTGTTTTATGTTCATGTACTTTTTTTATACAGTAGAGTAGTTAGTTAGGGAGTTATTTTTGTTTTCCAGTCGTGAGATGTCTTGCTTTATAGACAGCAACTACCAGGATGTATGTACATTTATGTAAGCCAGCCTTTTCTTAATCTGACCATGCAAAGTGATTACAACAACCAAGTGACAATGTGAGGAAATCCATCCTTTTTAACAGACTGTAGTATTTTTATCATGCGTCAAATTGACCTGAAACCAGTTTTTATACTGTTCGTGGCCCTCTTCTCAGTGATGTGCTTTAAGCCTTTGCCTGTCCTCTTTTTGTGTGTACTAAACATGTATTTGCATTTTCTTGTGCTAGTTTTTTTTTTTAAAGCTAAATCAAGAAACTATGGTTACAATATGGTGGAGACATTCCTGTTTGTGATAGTTAAATGGAACCCCTAGTCAGGCGACGCTAAGGAAGTCTGCTTAGGGAATCCAGCTCTATGAATTACAAGTCTCTTCATATTCCCCGAGTGAAATTCTGAATCAGCTTTCGGTGAATGGAAAACTCATTTAGACTTGTGTGGTTGGTCGGTTTTATGGTTGCTTTGCCTCAATAAATAAAAATTGAATTATATAAGCTCCTTGGTTTTGTGTAGTTTTGTCAAACTTACTTTTTTGTGCTTGTTACAGATTTGTACATCTGTTTAAGGTAACCCCCCTCTCCTGAACCTTCTGTGCAGTATGTTGCTGTGTTCTATTAGTTTACATTCCATCAGGGGGGTCTACAGTATGCTTTGCTAGACAAGGCTATTTATAGAGGCTCTCAGTTTCACACTGTAATGTCTGCACATATCTTCTCAATTCTCCGTTCTCCATCATCGATAACTTGTCTTATTTCAACACATTCTGTCTGAAGTTTGATTGTTTTTTTGTTTTTTACAGGATCTCTTCTGTAGTGTAGTTTTTGATCTTTGGTTTGTTTGCAGAAAGGACACCAGCACAGACTTGTGTTTGGATAATTTATTTCTTTTGCCATGTTGAAAACATCAGCGTGACATCAGCCAGATCCAGAAGTGAGGTCAAGCTTTGAAGTTCATTCAAACCATCTCCAAACCCCTGTAACATTTATTTGTATGAAAGGGTGGACCAAAATGTATTGTAAAAACAAGACCTCCTGAAGGCCATCCAAAACATGGAAAAAAAAGTGAAATAAATTGTGGCCAGCAATTAGAAATAAATGTTAAAAGTCCAGGTGAGCTATTAAGTAAAATCCATCATACTCCAGGTATGCTGAAGATTTAAAATCCACTCTGGTCGGCTGTGTGTCTAAAAAGTGACATGAAAACTAAAAACGTAACGGCTGTAGAGACTTAAAGAGGCCTTGAAGAAAGTCACATGCGCTGCTCAACTACTGTACGTCTTTCAACAAATACAGGCAAATAATTTGTATTAAAGTCACTTAAAAAAAATGTTCTCTTAAAATTCTGCCGATGCCAGCTGAACCCAGGAACAGTGGAGAGCAGGAGAAAACTTGGTAAACCTCAATAATAAAATACTAAAAAGACCTTCATGTCCTGAAAGATCAGAGGACACTGCCTTTCAAAACAAAATGCTGAACCTTGCATCATGTAAAGTGTCATCAGACCTTTTTTTTTTTTAAAGTGTGAACTGAACGCTCAGTTTAACCTTTTGAGGTCTGGATGCACACATACTCCTGCACTATTATCCAAACCTAGCTGCACAATAAAGCAACCTTGCTCCCTTATTCAGTAGGTCGATTAAGTCACCTCCCTCAGTGAGGCTTCAGTAAGACACTTAGCTCACTCACATTGTTTTCCCAGAAGTCTCATGGAATGAATAACCCCCAGAAACGCTACAAAGAAAGAAGTGCATCATTATGTCCGCTCTGAGATAAGTTAGTGATTTAGTTTGGATAAGTCTAGTAGAATAGGATGTTTCACCATCAAATTAATTGTTTCTCCTCTTTTCCACCACAAGTTACAGTACACTCAACCTGAACCAACCCGCCTTAAAGTGCCAGGCTGGGAGATAAAGATTGTCACAGGCAACAGGCTAGGTAAAGTGAGGTGGAGCCACCTGCTAGTGTTTAAAAACAAAATAACCACGTAAACTCAAGCCAGCCTCTAAACTCTGGTGTCGTCCTCGTGTACGGCTGGAATCCTGGGGATGGGACGTCTCTTTCTCCTCACAGCCGGATCTGGCTCGCCTGTCGCCTTTGCTGCCACAGCAGGAGCAGAAGGAGGGACAGGGATCGGACGTCTCTTCTTGACATAAGCGAGGATGCCCAGTGCTACACTCTCCATGTCGTGTAGAGATGTGTGCATGGCTTCGGCCATCTCATTCTTAGCTACTGAGGCAAAGCCTGGATCTTCTGCCAGGGAGGACAGACCCCCCTTCACTAGAGCCTGAGAAAAAGAAAAAAGTTTGATTACGACCATTAACATTTGTATTTTTGGTAGTGCTTCAGCCATAAACTGACAGCTACTAGTCCTATTTGCTTGTACTCTTTTATTCTGCAAGTTCATGCCTGACATATCTAATGTAAATGATAATGTTTTAATGTTGAACCCTGCAGATTAAGGCATGCAGGCTCTGATAGCCTACATAACATCCATAAAGTACAGCAGGTATCTTTCTATTTTTGTTTTGAAGAAAAACATTTGCCGCAAAATTTTGATAACATTCTAAAGCTCAGCTTTATTAAAAGACGTGAATAAGTCCTTCTTAAGACTGAACAGGAGACATATACAGTACTGACTACTGTCAAGCTTTTCAGCCTTATAAGCCCATGTAAAGTCAAAAACAACAGTGAGTCAATATTTGAAATTTTCCATTTGATCCATAGTGAGAAATGATGTAATATTGTTGCACTTAAAGGTAGTGCTTTGTGTTCTTCAAACTGTTTTCTGTTTAATTAAGATGTGACTCTCGAACAGGAAATTAACAGAACATTGGAAAGGGAGTCATGTTTGTTATCATTTTTCGATACCAAATCCGAATGAGGATCACAACATTTCCTGTGTTGGTTAAGCACACATTTCTCCTCGCTCACCTCCTGGACGAGCTGATCAGCCGCAGTACGGGAGCTCCGACTCTGTCCTTCACCGTAGTTTGGGTCATAGGGGAACTGCAGACAAAACAAATGCATCCATACACTTTCTATAGAAGCTGTTCATTAACATTTCCTCTGGATGAGTCGGGCTTTAAGAAAACATTACCTGTGTTTTGTCTGTTTTCACTGTGAAGTTCCAGGAGCGCAGGTTTTCTAAACAAGTGTTAATAAAAAAACATAATGAACAACTGTAAAGAACAGAGATGTGCCAGTGCTTATAAGTCAGCTAAACATTGATTAGTTTCTATTTGAGCTTTCCAGCTTGTTGGTTCAATGATGGATTTCCTTACCCGGCTCTTCATCCACATTAGGATTGTAAAACTCTGAAGGACTGCCCTCTCTGTCAAATGAAAATCTGAAAGACAAAAAACAAGGTCACCCTTCAGTCATATTCACCCAGATAATATGTCATGGTCGCCCTTGATAAGTCGCTCACTCTGCAAAGGCGTTGTTGTTTGTGTTGTTTTTGGGTGCTGTTGAGGGGAAGAATTCAGTAGTTGGTGTTAGGGCAGAGGAGTTGGGTGGAGACTCGGGCTGACTCTCAGAGAACATGAGAGGCCGCTGGTTGGTCATCTGTTGGGACTGAGCGTTTGCGGGCTCATCGGAGAAAGAGTCCACCCGGTTACCAAACAGACCGTGTGAACGCTGGAGGTACAGAGAATGACACACAAGCAGGTAGAATTCAGCTTTTGCCTTTAAGCTAATCAAATTAAGCAGCAAATCTGCAGAGATACAAGACTGAGACTTTGGTCTGTCAAACTGTAGACAGCGTTTCTCACCTGGTAAATGCCTTCCTCTCCAGATTCCTCCATCGCTCGTTCCATCTCTTCCTCATTCTGCAGGTCTCCTGAAATAGCTCTGTGCATCTCTGGAGCGACTTCTTCATCTAAACCCCTCAGGCCCGCCTATAAAGACATGAAGTATATAAAAATATGGAGGACAAAGGCACATAACAAAGACTTTCTGATAGACAGAAAATGAGGGATGTCAAATAATTAGAGGGCTAAGTATATCTTTGTAAAAGTGTGGTACACTTCTAATATCAAACTGATTTATTAACCTCTTAGGAACCTATAGGGGAGACAATATGCATCGATGGTTTTACATAGCATGATTTCTAGCCACTATGCATTCATTCAGATTATTTAAGATTATAATATTGACGTGATTTTGGTCCTATATTGAATGCTGACCTGGATCTCCGGGCCTGTGGCGCTCTTCTTGGAGGGCCGGTAGCCATAGTACTCCTCCTGACGCTTCAAGAACTTACGGAAATGGTCCTGGAGCAGGAAGGTGGAGTAAAACTTCCCCACAGTAACCTCATCGTCTATAAACAGACAAGTCATCCAGCAAAGAGTTACTGTATCATGACTTTGTTAAGGTGGTATATAACTGACTCTCTGCATGTTGATAGACTCACCTCCTATTGGAGGGATAACCTGGTCCAGCAGTTTCATGCTGGTACGTTTCCAGATTTGCTTTATGATGGCTCTCAGCTCCTCGTTGGCCTGCTCAAAGTTACCTGTTTTAAACAATCCATAGAAAATTAACTGACTTACAGAAGCTGATGTAAACTGGATTGGATCTGTTATCCATGACAGAATAAGACGTGTAGATGTACCTTCTGTTTTAATCTTAAGCGCAGTCCTGACCAGAGCAAACAGGGTGGCGTTGAATGTGACGGTGCCATCACTGTTCAGAGGCATATTCATGCCAACCAAGCGCTGCAGACAGGATTCAGGTTTAAAGCTTTATCTAAACGTATCATAATGCATGCAGTACATTGTATTTGAGCTTGTTTTTGTGTGTGTGTACCTTGCAGGCAGCTCGATGAGGACAGAACTTTCCAAAACCTAGCGGAGGCTGGAGGCTACGCAGCAGCGTCACCACATCCAGATGTTTGATTCTTCCCCTGTTACATCACAAAAACATCATGTACTCGTTTTCAAGAGGCTCCCTCTGAGCACTGAGAGCACAGAAACCCATTAATGAATGTTGTGGTCTTACTTTGCTTCAGGGTCATATTCAGCCCAGATCTTCTTGAACTCATCCAGATGGTGGGGGCCAAGAAGAGACCAATCACGAGTCAGGTAGTCAAAGTTGTCCATGATGACGGCTACAAACAGGTTGAGGATCTGAAGTGGAAAGGATAAAAGACCTCTGTTTGTATGTTGTTTTGAAAGAAAGCAGCAGATAGTTACGCAGGGGAAATGTAAATGTGGACTTATTTGCTGGTGTTTACCAGGAAGGCACAGAGACAGTAGAAGCTAAGGAGGTAGAAGACAGCAAAGTTTGACCCACAGGTGAACTCCTCTCCTGGCAGGAAATCAGACTTGGGGTCGCACTTCTTCCCATACATGGAAGCCATCATGACCTCCTGCCAAGCCTCTCCAGTGGCACATCTGGATGAGAGAATTATGTTGTTTTTTTATTTATTTTTTACTAATTACCTATTTAACAAAGATCCAGGCTCAGGGACTTACCGGAATAACATCAGCACAGCCTGAGGGAATGTCTGGAAGTTGTTGTTGCGGTTGATTTGAGTGCCATCCACTAAGGCAATCTTTCCAAAGATCTGATGGGTTGTAACACAGTAAAAATTCAATGACAAACACAGGAAAACTTCTATCAGCTAATTAAATCAGAAATCTATTAAAAATCTACAGGGGTAGAAACAATGTTTTCAGTACCTGCATCCCAATGACGCGTAGATGAAGAACAGCATCACAATGAGCAACGCCACATGAGGGAGAGCCTGCAGAAACAAGACACTCATTGCATTATACGTTTAACTGAAGAGAAGTGAAAATTATGATTGTGAAGGCAGTGTGAAAGACCTGGAAGGACTTAATGAAGGTCCACAGAAGGTTACGGATGCCCTCCGAACGGTTCAGCAGCTTGACAAGACGCATTACACGGAAGAGTCGGAAGAAGGTGATGGAAACGGAGGCATTTTCAGAGGCCTGTGAAAAGAGACAGAGGATTTAAAAAAAAGGAAAAGCCTGAAAAATTAAAACATGGCTGGATTTAATAGCAGGGAAGGTTAGACTTACTGCTATTGCTTGCATGGGGTTTGTCTCCTGCAAGAATGAAGAAAGAACTGTATTCAGATGAGGTACATTTCATAGAGGTCTTTATGTCATTAATAAAAGGCGTGTTCGCAGTCACAGCACTGATGGACCGTTAAATGTTATTCAAGTGTGACTCGCAACTCCAAAAGAAAGCTTAATGTTACAGATATTTCTCAACTTCTGATGAGTTACTGAAAACTAGAACAGCTGAATTTTTGTCACTCATGCAAAATAAACACACTGTATTATCTAATAAGGTTTTCAGCCAGTCCAGCCACCATTAATGCTTGAGTTGTAGCTTTGTATAAACTATTCAAGCCGACTAGAACACAATGTATCAAACAACTGTGGGCCTGATCTTACATTTTCTCTTCAATATTATTCAATATTAGAATGTTTTCACCAGCTGTTGGAGTCGCACACAGTTAAGTAATGAAGATAGTGAGGTGCTCACACGGCCACGCTCATGCAGCAGTGCAATGCAGTGTGGATCAGATATTTACAGCACAGCCATGGAGACAGTACAGTCCTCCACTGGAGGCCAGGGCAGTCTGTGGAGAGTAGACACATGAGCAGTGAGGTGCGTGGAGGACACAGGTAATGATAGAGATAGAGAGAGAGAGAGAGCGAGAGAGTCAGGGGAGGAAGAGGAACCAAAAAAAGCGGAAGAATTTGTGAGATGAAGTGAAGTGAATGTGCAAAGAGCTTGTATTTGTGGATGAGAAGGTGAAGACAACACAGTGCAATTTATCAGAAAATACATGAATGGCTAGAAGAAGTTTGTGTAGTATTACCAAATAATAGGTTAATTAATAGCGTGTTCATACAACACAAAGAAAACACAAGATAATTAAATACTGTTAAAGGTAACTGTGGACACAAAGGCAGTTTTGTTTTTCTGATGAAAATGATCCTCAAGTTGCTGAAAGTGGTAGATGTGATTGGCCAACTGACCATCTCCTGTTAGCCAGATCTGCTGACACCAACCAGTTGTTGGGCCACAATTGTATTCCTCAGGATCAGAGCATTGAATAAATACATTGAGTCTTCAAATCCCTCCTCTATCTCGTGTCATTAAGACCACACGAGAGACTTTCATATACAGCCCCTGCAATGATAATCTGATACCCATTAAATTCATGAGAATTGATCAAACAAAAACAATGTGTTTCTGTATGTACTCACATCGACTTCACTCAGGATGACATCAACAACGCTGCCTATGACGATAATGAAGTCAAAGACGTTCCAGGGGTCCCCAAAGTAGCCCTGCACAGAGAGGTAAAGTGTTGCTTAGATACATACTAGGTAGGGTTGTTGAATATTGAATTTAAAAATGTTTACCCTGGCTTTGAAGGCCATCAGCTTCAGTATCATCTCTACAGTGAAGAGGACGGTAAAGATCAAGTTCAGCATGTCTGACAGCTTGGTCACATGGTCCGACTGGTTGCAATGCTGTTTGAAGCAGAAAGCAGATATTAAGCTAATTATATGTTGAACATTAGAAGATTTTTAACTAAAATGTTTTTTAGAGAAGCTACTACATTTAAAGGTCACATATTATCCTCCTTTTGAATTGTTTAAAAAAGTCTCAGCGGTCACGAGGTTTCTAGCCAAATATCCTCTCTGATCCTTTAGTTTTTCATGTCTATAAACCCCTCTATTTCAGCCCTGCTCCAGACAGGCTGTTTCTGTGTATATAGCTTTAAATATAAGTGATCTGTGTTTGACCACGCCCCTCTGGAAGGGCTCGGGTGGCTCATGCTAGCTTGCACCATGCCCAATCATTTACAGTGAGGAGGCAGATTCAGAGGGCAGAACACACACCTAGCTGTGGGAGTATCACCCACCTGGGGGAGGGGCGACTGCCCTTTGTGATGTCACAGAGGGAAAATCTCCATACAGGCTAGAGACACATATTAGTGTTTGAAAAAAGTGTAATTTGCATAACATTAACATAACATTTGCATACCATGTGACCTTTAAAACAGTGACTGTAGGCCAGTATTTATTAAGAGTTTAACACTCAATAGCTCTGATAATCAGTCACAAGGATTGAGTGTGTGTGTTATAATGCCCTTTGTTTGATAATGACCACACAACACACCAAACTTTCCAAGAATCTGAAAAAGAAAACGTTATCACTTTTTCCAACAATATATTTAGAAACAACTAATTTTACTGAAGAAATCTTTTCATATCAGAGAGTAATGTCTGGAGAAGCTACAGTCTACACCTGCTCTTTCAGCATAGTGTCATGAGATTAAAAAAAAAAGGAAGATTCCAAGCAGTATAAAAAAAAATAATTGACTGATCATGTAAAAGTACTGCATATGCAACACTCATAATAAGAAACTTTGAGGTATTCTGGGCCTTTTCAAATGACTATATTGGTTTTGTTTAGGTCTTATCTTATTCCGTTTCAAACTCTGTTCTAATTCTCAATGAAAATAGTGGTTTCCATTAAAGATGCTCTTGTCAGTAGTAATGAAAGCAATTTAGTGGGTTGAATGTACAAATTCTCCTAAACGAGTATCACGGTCTAATAAACAATAGAAATGATGGCGAACACAACAACAATAAGATCCAAGTTTAATCAACTGGATGAGATTATACTCATAAAATGATTTGGGCTCATACTGATCTCCTCACTCTCAATGTATTTTCTGGTCCTCTCTAAGCAGAGTTACATAACCACAATTCTATGCAAATAGGATTTTGTAAATGAACTTACAAAGACTTATGTAGGGCACTCTGCATTAATGCTAATCCCCCTGAAAAATTAATTAGTCTGGGATGTTGCTGGAAAGTCAAAATGTCCCATATTCTGAAAACAGTTTTTAAAGTTTCTCATTAACTTAATGCTGAAACAATCACTAAGTCTTCCTCTAAGGATAATGAATATAGTCAGTCAGAAGTGGTGATACAATCTCTATGATTTTAGATTGTAAGGTGACATTCAATTCACCTACCTGCATGCCCAGACACAGCGTGTTGAGCATAATCAGGAAGAACATGAGGTACTCAAAGTAGCAGGAGGTGACGATGTACCAGACTCTGTACTGGTAGGGGTTTTTGGGGATGTAACACCTTAGAGGACGAGCCTTCAGGGCATACTGCACACACTGACGCTGAGGAGGAAGACAGAATGTGGGGTAAAAGCAAAACACTAAATATTTCTAAACTTAAGCAAATAAATATACTTCAATGTACTCAGAGTGGTTAGATTCTCACACTGTCCTACACTTCATGTCTGAGGATCTGGGCGTACCTGGTTCTTGTCCAGCTCACAGTTCTTATACTCCTGCTCACCCTGCTGCTGGAAAGTGACAATGACGAAGCCAACAAAGATGTTCATCATAAAGAAGGCGATGAGGATGATGTAGATGATGAAGAAGATAGATACATCCACACGGTTGTTAAAGACAGGACCCATGTCCTCTTGGTCTGAATCAATGGCTCTGTATAACAGTCTGGAACAAACAGAGGGAAAGAAACACACAAAGGCTTGTTTGTAAGGATGAAATGTATAACTTGTCTTAGTGCGTCCACTACCATATCTGGTCCTACTTTATAGAATTACTTCCACTCTTTCATTTTCCCTCTATCAGACCAAGAGATCAACAAATTTAATTCCTGGAATCAAATTGATGCGGTTCTTACTTTGGCCAGCCCTCAAAAGTGGAAACAGTGAAGAGAGCCAGCATGCCGTACAGCACGTTGTCAAAGTTGAAGTCACTGTTGATCCACTCTCTCTTAGCCAACACAGTATCTTGAAGGGAATTATCCATGTGCTTCCAGAACATTCCCCTGAGAGCAGACACAGTCACTCAGTCACAGTAGCATTATAGTTTTTATAGATTCAAAAAAGTCTTTACTGTGTTTAAGATGTTTGCCTTACTGGCATTCCTCTGCAGTCATTTTGGACGTGTCTGTGCAGCTGTAGAATTTCCCCTAGGAGAAAAACGGATTAGTCACATGTTTCATTTGTTAGCAGCAGAGGCCTCAAAATGAACAGTGGGTTAAAACTTACCTTGAAGAGTTGCACTCCTATACAGGCAAACATGAAGTTGAGCAGCATGGTGACCAGGACGATGTTACCGATGGTTTTGATGGCCACAAACACGCACTGGACCACATGCTGTTATTAAAGAAAAACAAAGACAACTGAATACAAATACTTCAATTATATGTAACATAGTTCACTTGAATATTACCATATTTAGACTTCGACTTGCCTGCCTTTTGTAATTTAAACTAAACTACATGTATTGAACAGTTGAAATAACAAGTAAGATTTCAGATTGATATTTTACATTATGAAATGTTTGACAAGCTTCAATTAATAAGACATCAGTGGTTTTCAATCTCTTTGCAAATAACCCTTTACAACTACAACAAAAAGAAAAGAAAGTATCCAGCCTGGCTTCTTGACCTGTCCTGACCTTGAACTGTTACAGAAGTTTAAACGTTTATAGATATTTCACACAAAAAAGCAAAAGTAAGAGAAATGTCTGATAAATGAAAATAACATTTTCTTTTGATACTTCAAGTCAATTTAGCTGGTAATTTATTTTCTTTATTCAGAAAACATCAGAATTATTGCACTTACATGATTGAATTGATAGTTTTAAATAGAGTAATGAATCTGATTATTTTTTCCAGCACTAAAAACATCTACCAAAATAGTGTGTTGTACCTTTAACCCCTTTGCTCTGTTGATGGCCCTGAGAGGCCTCAGCACCCTCAGCACCCTGAGAATCTTCACCACAGAGATCGCACTGGACCTGGAAACACAAGACAAAAAGGTCTAGACCTCCTTTTTTTTATTTTTTTATAGAAAACTTGAATTTGTAATGTAGGGAGAAAATATGTTCTATATCCAGAAAAGCTTTCTGATATTACTCACTCCATCCCCATAGAAAGCAGTGACACTGTAACCACTATCAGATCCAGGATGTTGAAGGAGTTCCGGCAGAAGGAGCCCTCGTGCATGAAGGCTCCATACACTGTCATCTGTCAGTCACATACACCAGAGTCATACTCAGAATACTGAAAGTTATTTGTGTGAAAACATTACATTTTGAATTTGTAAATAATACATCGATTGAGAAAATTTATTTGCAAATAAAAATGCTGAAAAACACTGAATCCATCAACTGAAGTATTTCAATTGGCTAATAGAAATATGATATAATAGATCACATTATTAGGGAGGACTCTTGTTATGTGACACTATGACTTAGTTTTTTAGTTTACTATCATCTCTGGCATTTAGGTATCATGTTAAAAATATATAAAATGTAAAAAATTAATTATAGTATGTGGTATAGTACTTTGCAGAACCAACTCAGTCAGGTGCTTGATATAAACAGCAGATTACCTTTAGCACAATCTCAATGGTGAAGACAGTTGTGAAGACAATGTCAGCATAGGCCAAGATCTGGAGGAAAAGCACAGAGCGTTCTTATCAAATATTTCCAGTCTTTAAAGAGTTAATGTCAGAGGTGTAGTGGTAGACCTGGTAGTCACCTGGTTTCTGTAGGACTTGGGGTCTATGGGGTCCTCAGCTGCCAGGGAAATGGAGGAGAGCAGAATGAACAGCAGGATTAAGTTGGTGAAGGAGGAGGCGTTGATGATCTTGTAGCACAGTTTACGGAACCTGGACACCAGTGAATATGTGAAAAGATACAGTCACCATTGAGTTCAAACGATTCACTATGTGCTGCACGTTCCATATGAGAATGCCGAAATATAAATAAACACTCTGACATCTATAATTCAAAGGTCAGTATGTCTGGTTTCTACTTGTTCTGAGGGCCAAAAATGAAGAAGGAGCTGGCTTCAGGCAATGGAACAGCTTCCTCCTTTAGCTGCAGGTCGGCCATTGGTCGGGGCCGAGGGCTGAGGGGTATTTCAGGCTCTTCCTCTTCATCATCACCTACCATGTGGGATAAAAGAAACCAAAATACTTTAGTGAAACGGTCGATATGTGTCTTAGTTGTGGCCACATTACAGCATTTCAGAGCAGAAACAAAATAAACTGATATCCTTAAAAAAAACTGTCTTTACTTTATCACTTTGTAGACTTTATATGGTTGTGACAGGAGTAGTGTGAAAACAGCCTAACTTTAGAGTCTGCAGTAAACTCAGCTCATGGGTCTAATAATAATGGAGGGTTACTATACTTATACTGTAACATAACCAGGACAGCAGAACTGGCAGACAGCTACTTTGATGAATAGGAAATTCCTGTATTCAGTGACCTCTTTCTGCACAACTGTATTGCTGAGTAATGTCAGCGATTAAAGGGAGGGGATAGGGTAAAAGATTAGACATTTCACCTGGGAAGTCATCAGGTGGGAATGGATCCTTCACCTCATTAACATTGGATTCAAACTCATCAATTTTGAGCTGAAAAAAACAACATCAAGATGTATGTATGAGAGCAAATTAAGCCATGAATAGTTAATAATGGCCAAGTAAATATGTGATGTGGCACCAGAAAAAGTGCTGACCTTGGCTGTGGTGGGCATGCCCTCCATTTTGGCTCTCTGCTCTGCCAGTTTCTTAGCTAGCCTCTCTCGTTCCTCGTCAGTCTTTTCAGGCATTTTGGACCTGGAAGGTAACAGTAAAATAAAAGCTTAGCTATAACAAGACAGAGCAGATATTTTAACTTGGAAAGTATTGCATATTCTTGAATTCACCTCAGTATTTTTCTCTTCATTTTCTCCTCTGCCTTTTCTTTCTGAGCTGAAGTTAGACTTTCAGCTTCTGCCAGGTTGTCCACGGCGATGGCCAAGAAGACATTGAGAAGGATATCTGATATTTGAGCTAAGGACAATAAAAACCTTGATTTCAAGTTATATTGCTAGTTGCAATTGCAATATGTAGCCATGCTTAGCAATATCAATAGAAGGATTAAAGTGTTGGCCTGTTAGTCACTAAACCATTAGTCCACCAGTGGGTAAGACTATTGTAGTTACATCAAATTTAATCAAATTAATTTTTCCAAAAGACTCCTCTGACTTTTCCTCTAGTCCCACCATGAGGTTTACTTTGCTATTATTAGTAATACTTTAACATATTGTGTGTTGCAATGGAATCTGGTCCAGACGTTTATGTTGAATACTTTGGTTTATGAAAAGAATGACAATCTCTTTATTCTAAGTTATATATTGTGAAATAATCTAAGTAGAAAAGGCATAGATACTACACTACATTTTTAGAACGCCTATATATGCCTGTTTAACATCAGCATGTTTGTACTCTCAGTGTGAACATAATGTATATTATGCTGAGAGCAGATTTGAGCCAAATTTCAGTTTCACTGTGTCAGTAGCATTACTGTATGCAGGTTTTCGTTTCAACCTTTTGGACATTGTGAGTTTGAAGGATACAGTTTCCACAAACAAACAGGATGATAAAGTAGATGGCAACCAGGATGCCTGGAAACACTGGCCCTCCATAGGCCATAATACCATTATACATGATGCTGGTCCAGTCTTCTCCTGTGAGGACCTGAGAGATAGTTCACATATGGAAAAAAAGAAAACAACAATTCATTTGAATTACATCATGGATCATTAAAAGACGGTGCTATAGTAATCCAAGTCAAAGCAAATATAGTGAAGAGCTTAGAGCAGAGCCTATATGAATCTGTGCCTCGCCTCACCTGAAACACGCTGATTAGGGCCTGAGGGAAGTTGTCGAAGTTACTGCGCCTGGGTCTGTTGTCGCTGAAGTTAAATTTCCCCCCAAACACCTGCATGCCCAGGAGTGAGAAGATGACGATGAAGAGGAAGAGAAGAAGGAGCAGGGAGGCGATGGAGCGTACAGAATTAAGGAGAGAGGCCACGAAATTACTCAGAGAAGTCCAGTACCTGCAAAACATATCGAAGAAGAGAAGGGTTAAATGACATTGAATTACACTAAGACTAATTCAATAACACATGACAAGCCTTTTAGTAGGACATGTTCTTACTTTGTGACTTTAAGGATCCTCAGCAGTCTGATACACCTGAGTACAGAGAAACCCAGGGGTGCTACAGCTCCTGCAGAAAACATGATCATCTCCAGGATACCGCAGAGCACCACAAAGAAGTCAAAGCGGTTAAACAGGGACATGAAATATGCTCTAGGGCCAAGAGCGTACATCTTCACGAACATCTCTACGACAAACAGGACCAGCAGCAAACGACTCGCCACGTCTATTGAGATCAGAGAGAAAGAGAAACAAAAGGATGACGATCTATGTAGAAAAATATACTTATAACAAGTATACTGTAAACCAATCACTAACCTTGTAGGGAAGTGAGCGACTCAGGCTGGTGGTGGAACTCTGTTGCAATGGTCAGGTGTTAAGAAGGACGAGGAACATCACCAACCAATAAAAGCTCTTTGTTTTCACATACACCAGGCACTTCATCCTGAAGAAACGGTTCCAGCGACGGGCCAGGCGGCTGAACACAGAAACAAAAAAAAAATGATGGCATACTGTGCTAATTTGACCTGAATATGGCATGTTAAAATTAACACTTGTACAAAATGCAGACTCACTAATAGTAGACGATTCGACTCTTGCCTTCCATGTCATACAGGCTGTCAGTGTCAGAATCACCACTGGTTAACGGCAGGAGTCCTAACAATGGAATAACAGTTGTAATTTATGTGAATTATGAGTATCATCACAAGGAAATGTGCTGAGTTTATGTCTTAGTGCTGACCTTTGCCCTCTCTGTCTGCATCTAGGACTTCAGAGTAAGTGATCCATTCCATGTAGCCATGCAGGTCTTCATCCAGCTGCTGACGCTCTCGCAACTTCTGATACTCTCCTCGTGACCTCGCCTTCTCTCGCTCTTTGGTAAACTCTCTGAATGGAAAGAGAAGGAAAAGTGTAACAGAACATGTGATCATTTTTTTATTAGTCCATCTGAAAAGGCAAAATGAAGGCAGTAGAAAATGACAGAAGGTAATAGCTGTCTTACCCACTGAGCACACCCAGTACCAGATTGAGCACAAAGAAGGAACCCACCAAAATGAGGGGAACAAAGTAGACCCAGGGCCATTCGTTTCCTATGGCATCATTCACCTGCAGGACAACTCCAGGTCAGCCACAAATAATGTATTCAGCCAATTTCCCCTTCACTGGAACAGACCAACAACTGAGATGATATGAATGCAGACACTAACCCAGTAGAGCACTTTGGTCCATCCCTCCATGGTGATACACTGGTACACAGTCAGCATGGCAAAGCCAATGTTATCAAAGTGGGTGATGCCGTTGTTAGGACCTTCCCATCCCGGCCGACACTCTGAGCCATTGATGCTGCAGCGGCGCCCGTTACCAGCCTGGGCGCAGGGTGCAGGCAGCTCAAGTTCTGCAGTGGCGTAGATATCTGTAGGGCAAAGACAAGAAAGAATATATTTTTTAAATGTAGGTTCAGGAGATAATAATGTAGGTTCAGGAGATTATACCTGCTAACGTATCAAAAACAGTATAAGAACAACAAATAAAAGCTAACTTACAAATGTCTGATTGTGACCTTTATACATACTTGTGTTGCTATAATAGCAGGTCTTGTGCATTTTGCACTTGAAGAGCTCCAGTCCCATGATGGCATAGATGGTGACAAGTAAGAAAACCAGCAGGGCGATGTGCAGCAGAGGTAGCATGGCTTTGAGGATGGAGTTCATCACCACCTGCAGGCCTGAATTTGAATAGTAAAAACAAAACATTGAAAACACCTCAAAATCTCTGTCATGCCTCCAGAGCATCTCTGCAGTGTTTTCAGGTAACAGAAAAAGGCTCTTACTTGGAACTCCAGAGACAAGACGCAAGGGCCGCAGCACTCTGAAAGCTCTCAGTGCCTTCATGTCAAACCCTCCACCCTTTTCCATCGGCACACCTGCTATCTTGTTGATGGTGTCCAAGGCAAAAGTAAAGAGACTGTAGGAAAAGGATTACAACCATGTGAGTCCTTATACCTACAAAAGGACCGTTGCAAAATAATATTGTAGATTTGATATCTGCACAAGATATATAATTTTTAACACATTTAAATGTTAATTGTAATTGCTTAAATATGATACAAGAGAAGAAGTGTCCTTTGCTAGTAGAGGTTTCCACCTGTAGCTCAGAGCTCAGCTTACCCCATGAAGACGATGACAAAGTCCAATATGTTCCAACAGTTCCGTAAATAGGCGCCTTCATGGAACACGAGCCCATAAGCCACTATCTTCAGAAAGCACTCTAACGTGAATATGATGAGGAAGATGTACTCCAAACTCTCCTGCAGGAAGACGAACACAAACCAGGAAGATAAAATGTATGTGGTTCCTCACCCTCACGTTCCATTTTCTGGTAAAATTTGGAGCGACTGGAATTTATGATCACCTGTGGGAGAATCAGTAATAGAGTTGTAAAGTTATTAGATGGTGTAATTAGCTTTACCAAGTTATCATGTGATTAATGAAACAAGCTGAGCCCAAACAAATGAAGAGAAGAAAGAGGTTGATAGAAACTGATTGCAGGGAGTGTGAACAGTACTATGCAGATGGACACTTTACACAGAAGACTCTGCCATCAGTGTGTGAATGTGGGGTGATAAGTGCTTTGAGTTGTCAGAGGACTAAAAAAGGGCTATACAAGTTCAAGTCCATTTACTATTTACATAATTGAGCATCGCTTTCCTAAGTAGTGACTTCCTCTGAGGACCAAAAGATAATGCATACAAGTAGGGCAATCATTTCTGTTATGTTAGGTTACACCCTTTATTTATGAAACCAGGTGAGATCCACATTAGGATTAATGTCTTTTTTAAGAGTGCAATGAGCAGCATAAACATATATTTTGTAAAAACGAAAACCATGCAAGCAGACAAATAAAACTGTCACATATTACAACGGTGTTGACCCATTATCCAGCTAGTCTGCCACTCAAGCATGACAGGTATCCAACAATTAACAATTTTAAAAAGGAATTCTGAATTTCATAGAATAGGAGTACTTTATTTTCTCAATCTATAAAAACTGAATTCCCCTATAGTAATCAGCTAAGATCGTTTTCTATTGACAATTTCTTTTCACATTTAATGTAGTTATTGAAATACCTGTTGCACATATTTCTATACAACATAAAACAGGTCAACCTATCATCATAGACTGACTGAGTCTTCTGTTGATCCTCATTTCTTACACAAATAAAAAATGTGTGAAAGTAGAAGCTCTAATGAGTCAAAAGTATTATAAAGCTCTAAGGGAATCCAGACCCAACTTGTGTAGCCTCAAATTGGAGAGTTAACTTGAAGTACAGTATACTGTAAATGAAACATCCTTTTAAAATAATCAGGGCAATAATATTGGCTCAATCAAGCCCCAAATCATGAGAACCTTCAAGGCAAAGCTTTCATACATTAACAATTCTATATATTTAGAGAACAATAAATACATGAATACATCTGTATCGCCTCATCAAAATGTTTCACCATCATTCTTACAAATGTGTATAAATATGGTTACATGAGACTACTTTGTGTATTTACAGTATCCACCTGCGTCAGTGTGGAGAGGCTGCCTGGGCCGACCTACTTCTAACAGCAACATGTAGCTGAAGTCGACCAGCTCTTCTTACATCCCTCACCTCTAAGGAATGGCTCAGTGAAAAGTAAGAAAGATCTTTGAGGGGGCTGGTGAGTGAGCCAAAGCAAAGATATTAAACAGATGGGGTCGGTTTCAGGTTCAGATAAGTAAATACTTCATTTAATTCTCCACAGTGTGCTGGGCAATAAGTTGGATAACAACAAGATTGATAGCTTTGACTTCGTCATATGTGGAGTTTATTGACTGAATGGTGGAAAGAAAGTGATGGGTGTGATATTTGACATTTGATCCACATATCATGTCTATCATAACCAGCCTCCTCAATAACATAACCCCAGGATCAATACAACAACAAATATCCAAACATTGGAAAGAAGTGTGCACTGTGCAAGAACAAACATGTATCTCTGGCTTCAATCCCCGACATATATCACACAATGCACATACACCTTTGAGATGAAATATAACAACACCTGGAAACACATCAGCAGCAGATAAGGGCCAACATCTGCCATTGGTTACACTACTTTAACATAAGCGTTTGAATCATCTGTTTTGACGACAACAAAACATACATGTTTTCATCATTATTACCTGTTTTAAAAAAATTATCCAAGCTCAATTTGGCTTATGGAATTGACACATTTCCAAGAAATTGCTGTAAGTGTATCCATCTAAATACAAATATTGTATATATCTCTCTAAAGCTTTGTATTTTTGTCAGCTCATCATGCAAGAATAATTTAATAAAATAAAATTGAAGTTATTAAATGTAGAAACTACATGATTGGGTGGGAATTGGGTCCGGCATTTCAGGCCCAGCAATCAAGTGGATTTAATTTTATCTTGCTGAAAGAACATTATCAGTATGTATTGATGACTGTGTCTCTGATGCCTCTCCCCTGTCATGTGGGGTACCACAGGGCTCAATCCTGGGGCCATTGCTTTTCTACCTTCATCTGCAGCCCCCAGGATAGAATTTACACAGTTTTAATATAGCATATCATCTACACAGATGCCTGGCAACTCTTCTTCACATTTAAACCAAGTGAGGCCTCAATGTTTTCTGAGCTCCTAAACTGCATAAAATTATAAAGTAGTGGATGAATGTCAATTATTGCAGCTCAATGCCAAAAATAATTGTTGTTACCCCAGGATAAGTTTGTACCTTCCATCCTGCAGAACATGGGGTCCCTCTCCCATGCTGCCTAGTCAAGCCTGTGTATTCTAGTTATTTTTAATAATTTATTTTTGTTAAGCAGCTCACCATCATGTGTTTTCCCATCGAAGAAATATCAGTAAATTGAGATCTATAGGTTCCACTGTTTAACTTGAGATGCTAATACATGCTTTCATCTCATCCCACATTGATAACTGTAATTCTCTCTTCACCTCACTCAGTATGTCCCCTTTAGTCGACTTCAGTCAGTGCAGACTGCTGCAGTCAGAGTTCTTACAAGGTCATATAAATGATCCCTCATCACTACTGTCCAAGATCCCTTCATTGGCTTCCAGTTACATTTAGAATCCAGTTAAGATTCTCACTTACAAATCACAGTTTGTCTCCAGATTATCTGGCTGAAATAATTCACCCCTATCAGGCAACCTGCCTCTAGTACAAACACACTACAGTTGCTCTCTGTCCCGCATACTCAATAAAAAAAACGCTGGTACCAGAGCTTTACAGGCCATAGCTCCCAACTTTAGAATGCTCTGCCCCTGCCTTTGCTTTCTGCAAAATCTGTTAATGATTTCAAAAATCAGTCATTCTCCCTCATCTTTTTAATGCATTGCATACTTTACTGTTTTTTTGTATCTGGGATCTGTGTTTTTAATAGTTTTATCCGTGGCTCATGTGACAGTCTTTATTTTTATTTCCCTGACATGATACTACAACAGAAATGGTTCCATGTAGCTACCAAATATCTGTCCACTGTAGTGGATGCCATGCCTGAAGGAATAACCTGTTTATAGTCATAGAATAGTTAAACTGCAAGGGTAAGTTAATAAAGCTAATAGCACATTCGTTTGATGGCATGTTCTACTGCAGACGCAAATGGGACTCCAGATAAAGAACTTGAGTTAAGTCTTGAAGCATTTCAAAGGGCTTGGCACTCAAACCAGTGACTGGCTGAAAGTCTCACTGATGAAGCATTCATATCAAATGATAGAACAGCTGCAGTCATCGACTGTTCATGATAAAATACTCAATCCTTGGAAACAAAAGACCATGAACTCCTGAGTCATACAACAGAAAAAAACTTTGTGTCCATGCTCAAACTCACCAAGTTTGTGTTTGTTTGATTACTGTCTTCTTCAGGCATGGGCAGGAACACAGCCAGGGCCACACAGTTTGCAAAGATGGTTAATAAAATGATGATCTCAAAGGTTCTGAATGGGGAAAATCAGGATCATAACAACAGAAGAGGCTGGAATATAGGAATGCCAACTGAGAAACATAAATTGTCTGGATTACTTAAAGTTAATAATATGTCACATAAGTTAAACAACACACTAGAAACAAATAGTAATTTATTATTACTTTTAGCTTTTCTGTATTACTTGTGACATCATTTAACAAAATAAAAAAAACAACATCTCTACAACTCTGCTGACATTGATCAGTGCCCCTAAATGCTGCCTGAAACATCATCCCTATAGCAGCCGTTGGGAAGCAAGCAAATGTCAGCTGTGATACTTCATTCTCCCCCATAGGGGGCTCTCTTTGAGAATTCCCCTGCCAGGTCAGCATCATGTCTCACTGTGACGCTGTTAGACAGCTGCAGTGCCCAAGAATATGACCAAACCATTAAACACTGACTACTCATCAGGGGAAATATATCTGTTTAGGTATTCTATGAGACATGCATTTAATCCATACTCTGTATGAGTAGATAGATACAATAAGAGTCTTAAAATAAATAAAATATTTTATTTTGTTATTAATCCAGCACCCATGATCTATAGAACAGAAGAACATACCATTGGGATTAATCTGCTGCAGTGAGTAAGTATGTAGGTATGACCCGCAAATGGGGACAAAGTTCAGTGAAATTGCTCTATAAAGATGTCACTTTAACCCAATACATTTATAAAAAAAACACATTGATTTTTTTAACCCTGTTCAGTCCTATTTAAAGAAAAGCCTTTTGTAAATATGGGTATGATTTCTTACATTTTGTTTGAGTTTTAAAATACGCTAAGATTAAGTCAGAACAGAAAAAACCCTATAAAGCACCTAGCGTCACTCAGCAGCTAGCGTTGTGTCCGTGTGACTATAGCCTTAGTGAGTGCCAGCTTTTAAAAACCACTATTTCCACATAAAAAGCAGACTGTCAGCTATCAAAACACAAGGACAGCACTTTATTAACTGTTTCAGACTGCTAGATCAGGCCAAGAAGCTCTACAGGTGAAAATACAAATGATACAAACTTGACTTTCACACAGAGCTGCCAAATGCATAACAAAAGTCTTAACACTTTAGGGATCGCCTTAACACAGATTTGAAAGAGACTTGGCTGTGGCATGCTTGACACAGGTGAACTCTGACTGATAATTCAACGGCCTGCAGACGCCTAATGACTGTGTAACCTCGCTGTCACTGTTGTTAACTAGAGCCTTACATGCTCTAATAACTGTTTAATACCATCAGTATGCTTTGGTCTTAAGGGGACATTTTTAAACCAATGTCTACTTTGTATAACAAACATAGAAGTGTGTGAGGTGTGTTGGTAGGTTTGTATGATATAAAAAGGATACTTCCACTCCACAATGTTGATGCAGGCCTTGCGGAAAGGATTTTTGAGGTTGAAGAGGAAGAGGGACCTGGCTGGTCGAGGGTTTCCCCCTGTGGCCTGCAGCTTCTTCAGCTTCTCCCTCTGCTTCCTCTTCAGCTCCTCTTCATTCATGATGACCGGCTTGGCCGCCTCTGCGTTGGCCGCCATCTTTTCGCCTCCACCTGAGACAAGCTCCCAGTCCTCTACAGGTGTATCTTCTCACTGTATAATCCCAAACTCAGGCCCTGAATAACTCCTCGTTGTGAAGGCCCCTGGGTTAAAGATCCTGTGTGTGCTCCCCTGCCGCCACCTCACTCCTGGTCTCCTCTTCCTCAGACTCGCTCTGCCTCTCACAGAGCCACAGGCCTCTCCTCCTGGCTGAAGGCCTCTGACAGAAAAAGCCCCCTCTGCAGGGAAAAATAACAGGAGCCCAGAGAGGCTGGAGGAGCAGTTGGCCCTGCTGTAGTTTAAATTTAGACCATGAACCAATACAGGCCATGCTTGGGGATGGTTAAAGGGGTGGGGGTGGGGGGGCTGATTGGAGAAGTGGGATCATTGGTGAGTGTTCGGGCAGGACTTCAGTGGCAGAGGAGCATAAAGAAGGGGACAGATAAAGTTTGGGGGGGTCGGGCAGTAGAATATCAACAGAAGCCTCTTGAACCTGCCCTCTTTTTCAAAACAGACCCAGCTGCTCGAGACTGTTGTTGAACCCGAAACTGAGAAGAAACTGATCAGAGAGGAGGCAAAGTTGAAAACATTGATGTTTCTGCATCGAATCTCTGGAGACGGTAATATCTCCGTGAAATTTTCTTTCAAGGAATTAAGATCTGGGTTTTGTACTAGTGACACTTCAACAAAATCCCTGTGATACAATATAATATAACACACCTTCACATGAGAAGTTGCCTTCACAGTTGGGAGTTTTTGACAAACATTTGACTTCCATCAACAATAGAAAATGTCATATACGTAAAACCTATAAGAAAATTTACCTTAGCGTGTTATAAGAAAATATTCTATAGTAAAGGTTATAAATACAATGTTAGAGGATCCAATTTGGGCTGCAATTTAGATATGTCAATGAAAAACATTTACCATAACCCTAAATACAACACCTACATTACATACATTTGTTTTGTATGTATGGGTAAAATGTGGTCAAGCAATTGTTATCTTGCCATCAGGATATAATTTAAATCAAAACAAAGTATTAAACTCTTAAAGTATACTAAGTATAAACATATTTTCAGTAAAGCAGAGGGGAAAATATTTGAGAGCAGGTATATTATCTACTATGTCGCCCACTAGTGGCAGTTATCAGTAGTAGTATCTTCTATAACAACCAAACATCCAGAGAAATGAAAACAAAATCTAGCACTCCAGAGTATACTTTTTATTTCACATCAAGCTGAATGAAAGAGACATGAGCAGTGCAAAACTTGACTCAGGCTGGAGATAAATATAAATACGAAACATAGAAAGCAGAGATAAGAAATGATACTCAAATCAAACACTTCAGTGGTAAAACAAAGCATTACAGGCTAATTACCTTCAGTAGTTCACAATGTGCCAAGGTAATGAGAGTCAGTGTATTTGACTTTGCTGCATTAAACATTCAAGCTCCATATCATGATGCACAACAGCTTCCTTTAAACCATGAAGCATCCGGATTCTGCAACACGTAACTTCTTTATCAGAAGCTCTACTGATCTGGGACATTCTCAAGCAGCAGAGATTGGATTCAGCTGAAGAAAGCTTTAAAGCTCAGTTAAATGCCCAGTTCTCCATTTCTCTCCTTGCATAGGAAAGTGTATTCCATCAAACTGCAGGACAGCAGTGTGGCTGTGTGCCTATCTACAGCAATAATCTGTTTTCCAATCAGGTTCCTCAGTAAATTAGAGTTTAAAGACTTCATTTATAGACTCAACAATGGTCTCCAAGTGGACAATATACTCCTAATGATGTTTTGGGATACACTTACATCCTTTTTTTAAAAAAATAATACATTCACCCACATAAGAGAGAACAGAAAAAGTAATATATTGCAACTGGAAAAGTTAACGGTAGCTATTTCAAAGCTTCAAACATACAAAGCCCAAAAATAGCAATCCTTTAATTTCTTTGTAAGCGCAAATGATACTAAAATGCCCCAGTTATTAATGCACGACAATAGGAGAAAATAAATAAAATACAATTCAATCATTAGAAATGTTTTTTCAATGCTAAACTAGGAAAGGTGCAATCCTTGGCAACAGCACAGTTAGGTTCTCTCTTTGTTACCCAACAGCTCAACGGACCATTGACATATAGGTGTACCTGCTCTGAGGTAACTTCATAAATAATGCTAGGAAAAAAAAAGCCTCACATGAAGCCAATTCAGCGAGTAGAGAACAAGAAAAACTAAAGCTATTCACAGTCTGACTAAATAGACAAAGGTGTTATTGACATTCAAAAAGTGTTGCATTGCTAATTGATGAAATGATTGACGTGATTTTTAGCTGTTAGGAGTGGGCTAACATGCTGGGTTTCCTAAACACCAACATAGTCCTCAGTGTCAGATATAATCAATGACCTAGATGTGCTTGTGTGGTGTGTTTTTAGATATGACTTAAAGAGGAACTACTAATTCAAAGGGTGCAATGGAGAGAATGTAGAAGGTTATATTGCAGCTGGTGTAGGTGTAAAAGCATTGAGCCCAGGAAAGTTACCTCCTCTAAATCTGGTTTGAGGTCAGCTGTATGTTTAACTAAGCATCTTGTGGCGGTCAAAAACGGTCTTGCGCTGCTCCTGAACTTGCTTTTTCCAGCGCTGCTGTGCTCCTTCAACCCGCTCCAGCACTGTGTTTGCTTTGGCGCCGTCCACCTGAGGGCGCATCTCCTGAACATACGCAAACACAAGACCGGGAATACATTTAATTGAAGTTTTAATATACAACAGACATTTAATAAAGGCTTTTAATACATCGATTTGAATGGTTACCTCTGCATCCTCCTCATTGTGCAGCGGCTGGGTGTAGGGGTCATGTTTGCGAATAAGAGGATCAACGAGTAGAAGGAAGAGCATGTAGAGCAGCAGTGCGCCCACAACAGACAGGTAAATGATGATAGTTACCTGGAAGAGGCAGAATGGAAAACGTTGAGACTTCAAATCATATCAAACTTTATAGTCATTATGCAATGCAGCAGTTTCACAGAGCAGAATGAGAAAGTGTTTCCAGAAGAGTCTTTAATCACTTGTCAGTGTTATGACTGTGAGTCATCTATAGGCTACATAAAATGTGTTTTATTTTTCGATCAGCCTTTGCGGGGCTTTGTGTTCTTTTTGTGCATCTGTCTCTGTGCTGCGCTGCAGGTGGCAGCCCTCGATTGGGGAAAAGCTGATGGTGCGCGCCGGCCAGTGATTGGACCGAGGCTGGTTCTGCGTGCGTGAGCCTTATTGGAGCAGAGCCAAGAGCGCCCGATTTTAAAAATGAGCTGCAGAAGCTAAACGCTGCTTTCCTTCTTCATCACCTCCAACGAGAGACGTTTTGTGAAACAGATCAATTGTGTATTGGTTAAGTTGAGTGATAATTATTATTATGTCGTGCAGTCCGTGTGATGTTTGTTATGTTGTAGGGGAGAGTAGCCTTTTCTCCTGTTTTTCTCATAGGGAGTTAGGCAAAATGCCTGTATTTTCTTTTTGTTACTTAATGTGTAGGATGGTAGTTTGGGGTTCGACTAAAATGTTATGTTTATTATTTTTGCCGGTGCTCTCCCTGAAGTTGAATTAATTGTCTTTATTGCTAATAAGTAGCACATTGTGGACTAAGAATTGGTTGTTATTGTGATTAATCATTGGGAGTGAGGAAGAAGAGGGTCACTTCTGTGCTACGGCTGGTATCCAACAAAATAACATAATCAAAACACAATATAAACACAACACAGTCCCTGAGCCGGATGGCATGTTAAGGAAACTTTAAAGGGGAAAACAGTTCCGAAAATAAATGTCCAGCGCAGTTACTGAAAAGATGCATGGTTTAAAAAGTAGCGTAGAACTGGAATTTAAAACTAGTTAAAGTGATCAGTGTAAGTTAAAGTTACCAATACGTCAAAGTGACCAGTATGTTAAGTGTCCAGTACAGAAATCTAGTGCAATGAAGTCGCAGCAGGTGAAAATGACCGTTTAGCAGTCTCACAGTCTGTGTAACAGCCTTGTTGTCCTCGTTCTGATGCCATGGTTTGCCTGATGGCAGAAGATCAAGGAGTGTGTGGATGGGCAGTGGCAATTCTAGAGTCTAAAGCTGGGCAAAAATCAAATTGGGGGGTACTCCAACCAGACATTTACTCCTCCTCTCATTTTTTCCCATTTCTTTTTCTCTCTTATAGACAGCTAATTCCTCTTCATTTTTCTTTGGTGACTTTCAAACTTTGGTTTTCACAGCAATTGTACATGTGAAGATTAGCAGGGTAACAAAAGTGCGTGCTGTCAGGTGGGGGGGGGGGGGGGGTTAGGTACTGGTATGTTTCCTCCTGTCATTGCAAAAATAGTACATTTTGGGCCACTGCTTTGGTTTAAGTTTGTGAGCCCTCAGGGGGCCCACTACTGGTCTGGGGCCTCGAGCGGTAGCCTGCCTTGCCTGTTGACAAACAGTGCCTCTGTGGAGGGGAAGTGAAGGATCAGCTGCAATATTCAGGCAGCGTCTCTGGAATAGTTTAGCTTAGGGAGATGCCAATGATCTTCTCTTCTCCCCTCTTGCAAGAGTTTCTTGTCCTATATTTTCTTTCAAATCAAACTTAAAACTTTGTAATGACATTTTATTATCTGTATTGCCTAGAAATTATTGTGACGACCATAACCGAACAACTTCTGTCAGAAACTAAAAATCTTTCAAATCAAAAGTAATCTCTGTAAATATTGGCACTTTTGCATGTCTCTTACAATTGCTTTGACACAGACTTTAATTGTATTGTTTATCTTCTTGATAACTTTGTAAGTGAGAGTCAGGATAAACGCTGAGGTGAATGATGTGACACTTAAAGTCAGAGTGAGATCCAAAGAAAGCTGTGGGTACCTTGATGGTGTTGCTGCTCCGCTCCTCGTACTTGCACTCACACAACAGGCAGTAAGCTTCCACATCATGGCCAGGCACTGGCATGGGCTCCACTACATGGAGGCAGTTACTGTAACACAAATCAAAGAGAGCAGTCAGACAATTCTTCACAGTACCAGATGGACTACAGGATGTGAACCTCCAACCCTTGCTTGAGTCAAGGACAAGTGGTTGAAGTTCATAATGGGACAAATTCTAACTTACTTTAGAGTTTAAGAAAAAGATAATGGCTTCCTCTTACCAATCCTTCTGGGAGACATTTCTGTTATAAATGTGGCCAGTGATGTTCCTGTACGGCGGGCAGATGCACTTGCAGCGAACATCCTCAAAGTTCTGTAATTGTCAAGAGAATTGTGTGAAATTGTGTCCAAATCAGCAAACTGTTCACTCTCCACTACAGCTTTCTATCTCATTTCCTCCACAACAGTAACTCTTTGTCACCAACCAAACTTCCACTTATTCCAGGCTGAAAGTCAGAAAAAGCAGAACTGTCGAAATTCTTCTTTAGAGACAGACGAGGAAAGAGGAAAGATCTAACAAAAATATGTATTCTACAAGATGCTTTACAGCTTACAGAGAGAAAGACAGACATACTTAAATTGAAACTTTACTTCATGTCGAGACTTAAGGTAGATGAACATTTATTTTGGTCTTTCCTGGGAACAACAATGTGCAAACTGTAACAGATTCATTGCTGATAATGCTGACCCCCAGTTTACATTAAACTGGGAAAAACTGTCAGGATGGACTTGGAAATCTTGCACTCAGTTTCCAATTTAAAGTCAAATTATTTGGACCACAGCATGAACTAAAATCATAAACTACAAACTAGAACTTTAAAGCTCCTTGACTACCAGTTATGTTATCTGAGAGGCTTTTCAATCTACAGCTGGATGGAACAAAACAAAAGTTACTCAAAATAACTTATGTTGTTTGTTACTTGATATACACCCCTTATATCTGAAAAAAAAAGATTTTAATGGCAGATTTGATAAAAACCTAAATTTGTATCTCTTACAAAGAGATTTAGGGAAAGAAATACCGACCATACGTATTGCTAAAGGGTACATACTGTTCGGTTATTGAATGTCTCTACGACGTGTTGTGCATCATGTCTTACCTTTGCCTGTGCCAAAGAGTTGCATCCAGCAGACACAAGTCACTGCTGCAGCTACTACTAATGTCCTGAATCCTCCCCCGCCCGACGACATCTTCCCACTGGAACAACAGATGCAGAAACACCAGCAAAGCTCTGCAGAAACACGACAAAGAGTTGAAACGATACAGCTGGTGGTTAGCTTGCCTGCTAGTAAGAACACCAAACACACAAATGACTTCAGTTCAGTAAAAATGCGGCTAAAACAACTCAATGAAACTAAAATGCTATCAATACACAGTTAACCTACGTTGTAATGGTAGATATAATATTTGTTTTTGCTATGCATTCGTGATGGAGCTAGATATCAGCAAGCTGTACTGAGAGGAAGGATCGCCCGAATTTCTTCCGGCTGCGTCACACCAGAGGCAAGAGGATATACGAGGCGACACCGCCACCTAGTGGACGGAAATCCAAACAGATGAGGAAAAAGAAAATAAATAGTAGGCAAATAAAAAAGTTAAAAAAAATTTTTTTTTGAAACTCTAGCTGAAAGCTTTACAACATTCAACATTTGAAAACGTGACTGTACCATAAAATTGGATTCATTTTTATATACAAGGGAGTGGTAACAAGGGTAATAATGGAAGGCTCTCATAAATACTGGGACTAAACTTTTTCTTTAGCTGCCATTTTTTAAATTTTGTCGTTATTAGCATAGTTAAAGTAGTCTTGACTGACCCATTTAATAGTTGGACATATTTTTTGGATGCGTCAAACAAATGTTCGAATCTTTCAGACATCTTGATTAATTGTGACATCAGATAATAGACTACGGTTACTTGTTATCTCATAGCAATGCTTCCCTGACAGTCAGTTTGAAAGTTATTACAGGTTAGTCATGTTTTTTAATTTTCATACTGGGCTTTATATAAATCTTTACATTTCAGGAATGGTTTCATTCTACAGTATGTTGCATCACACTGGGCTATCTATTGTTGAAAACAAAGCTACAGTTCTGTGTATAAAGCATGATGCCAGTAAAGTCTGTTGTCTTTAATCATGGAGAAAGTAATTCGGAAATCATTTTTTCCATCCATCTATTTGGTGTAGCTATCAGCTTTATAGTGTTTAATACACAGTATTTATAAAACCATACATTTCATAATATACTTTTCCAATTCACAATAAAATACATTTGTGACTCATTGATAAAGTTTCTCATATTTTTCAGTCAACACTGTTTTTCTTGAATCCAGTCTCCCTGGTGGAATTTGAAATGTAAGCCCCTGCTTCTGGACACAATCAATACCTCTATTTCCTGGTAATCCTGTTTTCACATCTTTCTGTATAGTAACATACTCATACCTTTAATAAGCCATAGAAATCAATGACTCACAAATTCAGCTGGAAACACTTGAACCCGTGGTCACAGAGGTCAATGGAAACCATGCTTATTTCTCTAATGAGTAATGATATCAGTGTGAATAGCACAACCCCATCATCTGTGTTACCTCAGTCAACCATATGACCCTCGATCCAAACATTTAGAACAATTAAAATGCTGCAAATAGCTTTTTTACTAACTGTGTAAAATAAAGAAATGATTGTTACTGGAAAAATAACGGTGAGTATATGCTGTCTGGAAAAATAATCTGTTTAGGTGAGCAGACATGGGCATCAATTTATGTGTCAGAAACATTTCACAAAAGTCAATCTTAGCATAATTATTAGAGATTATATACCATTGTAGAAAGATAAGAAGTCTTATATTGAGGTGCAGAATTTTGCTTTTGGACTTTTGGTGTCACACCGCATTGACCGCAGCTTTTATCCTGATTCTCTCTGACAAAGGTAAACATCTGGTAGCCAGATTTTGTTCAAAGGTGCAAATGTGATGTTAAAACTTTCAGGTTTTGTGACTTCTTGAATTCCACACTTAATTTTCATATGATCAAACCTTTGTTGTTCTTGTAGTAATAGTGAGATTCTATAAATTGTTGTGCATTTTAGAAGTTGGAGCTTTACAGACTTGAATCATTTTAAAAAGGATGATACCTGCAAATGGATTAAAGTGACAAAAACAACAAACTGATCATTTAATTGGTTGTACATTTTGCATTCAGATTATATTGTGAAAATATGGACATTTAAAAAAAATGTTTTCTATATTTCAGTGTATTTTTATATTTGGAGGCAGGTTAGTTGTGGAACAGCATACATTGATGGCATGAATTAAAAAACAAAATTCAAACATGCATTAACACATCAATGTATTCATCAGAATATCTACATGTAGCAGTCATGTTTCATCATAAACAAACAGATAATTCTCCTCAGGTTGTGACTTCTGCAAGCACTTGACTTAAAGTTGGTTTTCTCAGTCCTGTCACTGTAAGCCACTTAGCTCTCTGTCTTCTCGGATGCATGACTGCCCTTTACACCCTTAGGCCAATTACAGCATAAATGACACTGACCAGAGCTCAGTGCCAGGTCTCATTATCAGTTCTCATGAAGAAGAAAAAGGTGATCCAGTTCCTTTTTCTGTAGACGGAGAAAAAAAAGGTTCATGTGAGAAAGAAAACAAATCTAGTTAGCTTATGTAAAATGTTTTTATTAGCTCCAAGCTAAGTGTAACCGATGCTGGCTGATACAATCGTTTCGTTAAAGTCTGCGTACACACTCTGACTATAAAACAGCTGACTAAAATGATCCATTATGGAAACACTGCAGAGAAATCCAACGTATAAACAAGCTCAGAAGATGTCAAGCTCTCTTATTTGTCAAGGTACCTGAAGGTATTGACTGAATCCTATTACTCAAAGCATTAATTTTCATGGGAGAGAAAACAGCGGGCAGTTTGCCCACTAGGAGATGCTATAAGGCCCAAGGTGAGTCCAGACCTGCACACTTTAGTCAAAGCCAGACTTTGGAGATGTCAGGAGGGATGCAGGTAAGATGCAGGATGGGCTGTAATGTAACACAAGATTGAATATGTTGTGAAAGCCACAGGCAAACATCTATTAAAACATGAAAAATACCTAACTGTTGTTTAAGTTATTAGCGGAATTTCATCAGTGGCAGATCTGCAATACAAAATACAAAGAATTGAATATTTCTGTAAAATATTTTGAATCAATTCTGGAGATTTTATGTGAGTAATAAGGCCCAGATAAAGTCATAAATGTCCTACTGCAGGATGATACCTGTGTCTGTCCTTATTCTCCCACCTTCAACCTTTCAGCATTGTTCTTTTTGACCTTTATCACATCATCCGCAATGTATTTTTGCCCTCTACTCTTCCTGTGTATCGTGCTTTCTTGGAGAACACTGTTTGAATAACAAAACCATCTCTGCTAAGTCTCCTCTCCTCTATCCACTGAGGTGATGCATTGTGGGCAGCAGGACTATTCTAATAGACACACATGGTAATTACAGTAGTGGGAGGCAGCAGACAGTGGTGGTCCGGGGACAGCTCAAAACTATAAATCACAACTCCTGGTTCCGCCCTCCTGAGCTCAAGCAAAAAGCAATTCTGCCAACATGTGTTTGCACATTTGTCTTCATCAGCCACTGGCTTGTTTTGGGCCCCCGTGACTGGATTTTCCCTTCTCATGGTAATCTAACATGAACTACTTTCTTGGGTGTTTGGGTCAAAGTCAGCTATATTAGGCTTAAGCATAAGCAAAACATGAAATCAAAACCATTCTAAAAGTTGTAAAATGAAGGTGTATTTGTGTTAAATTCGAACAAACTGTAAAATACATCAAAAACATTGAGTGCAATGAGTTAGAAAATGGAAACACATTACCTGATTTGACATAAGGTACAGTTTTTTTTCCCCGGTAGCATGATATGCTTCCAGGAGAAGCATTTAAATCAAAGTGGAGGCAATAGCAAAGGTGTAAGAAAAGCAGGCAGTGATGGTGAATGCCTACTACAGTGTGTCCTCTCCTGCTTTTATCCATACAGACAGCTGCCTGTCAGCCAGCTGAGCCCATGCAGGGACGAGGTGTCTGCTGAGGAGCTAGTGTCAGCAAGGTGAGAACAGAGCCCGGCTACGCTGAGCCGAGCTGAAATGGATGCAGGAGAGAGAGCGTCTCTCCTGCCTCTGAGGGACACGGATTTTCAGCGAGGAAACAGAGACTGCTGGAGCAGGAGACTCAGCCAGACAGAACATGAAAGCCAAGAGCGGCCATGACACATGATGGACACAAACGCAGGAAGAGAAGCTTCCTCCTCCTCCTCCTCCTCACTCTTCCTCCCTCCCCCCCCTCTTCTCACTATCATTCTCCTTCTGCACAGAGGAAAAGGGGGAAAAGGGAAAAGGAGAGATGATGCTTGGATCACAGTGGCTCCCGGTTGAACTCTGCCCTCCCTGTAATGTGTGGTCTTTGATGTTGCCCGAGATGTTTAGAGAGATGCCAGAAAGCTTCAAAGAGATCATAGAATCGTGGCATGTTTGTAGGAAAATAAAAAAAAAGAAGAAGCAAGCTGCCAGAAATCCACATGCATCTTTCAACAGAGAGTAGGGTTCATGTGGGAAGACAGCTGAAAACAATAGCGAGAAATGAAAGGTGACATGAATTGAAAGGTAGATAAATAGCTGCAGGGGGAGGAAGGAAGTTTGTTGTTGGTATAAAAGGATGGGATGCAGGTTTTGGTTTTAGGAAAAAGATGCCAGGTTGTTTAACAAGGCTTGGCAGGCCAGTCAACAGACTGTCAGCCATTAATGTCCACATTTCAGTGACACAATCAGGCAGTGTAGGACCGATCTATGCATCCAGTGATGCAGAAGAAAAACCATCCAAGAGACATTAAGCAAAGCAAAACCAATATATGGTTGTCTCATGTGTCTCTCTACAGACACAGATCTTTATATTCACTTTAATGTATGTGACATGTGTTTCTTTCTCTGCTGCCTCAGAGAAAAAGGGATCAAGCTAAGGGGTCAAAGATCACAATTGCAACACAATAAGAAATCAGAAAGTGGTGTCACATCTAATCTGCCCATAGTTTATCGTGTCTCTTTTTTAGAAGAAGAGCTTTACCTTGATGGAATATTAAAAACAAGTGTTTGCAGTGATCTAGCTATTTACACACACACACGCTTTACTTTTATCTCAAGTGAATCCCTAGTTGCTGCAGTTTATGATCCCCCTGCCCCTGCTGCAGGCCACATCTGCAGGAACGATGGATTTTGTCCACAGGAGCCTCCTCCTCCTCCCAAATGCCACTCTTATTCACTCTCCACTGTTTCAGCTTCTACTTCAATCTGACCTGGCAGCTCGCTGGTGTGCCAGAACAGACTAGCCTCTGGCACAAACACAAACCTTAACAATGGTATACTTTAAAAAAGGAGAAAATAAAGTATATAAATGACTTTACAAGCAGGATGATGGGGCACAATGTAAAGCATCTT